CATCTACTTCAATCGCAAATATCTTGACCTCTTTTCAATATACAGTCAAACCTGCCCTGACGGCCACCTGCACAAACGGCCATTTTCCAATTCCCCCCCTTGCGTTTTTTCTATATAATTTAAGTGTGTAAAACGGGCACCTGTCCAACGCGGCCGTGGCCACCATATTTTAACACACAACCCCTATCACACTAAGCAATAATACCTGTCTTAGACGGCCACCTTTGTGACTCCATTACGTTTTGTCATAAATTGTGCATTGGTCCCTGGCGTTGTGGGAGAGCCGTCATAATTCAATCACCTGTCGTCGTTGTTGTTAGGTAGTCCCTCCAACCGATCATATGTTGCATAGGCCCCTCCCACTGTTGACCAATAGCTACTAATTTTCAGCTGTTGGTGAGGTAAGCGTGTGATCCCTCATAACCCATAAGCCCAGCCCAGAACTCTTACACTAATCGTAAGTGAGATGAGTGGGCACTGTTTACCCAGTCTGTAACAAAGGACGTCAACATGAACTTGTGACAGAAGCGTCGCTCGTTCTCCAAGTGGTGGCGACCCATTTGTTTGTTTTAACATGGCACTCGGTCTTCCTCGTGGGATACATTTCGTTTTATTATCACCCTTGTGCAAAATCAGCAAGAAATAAAAATTACAAACAAAATACAAATCACCACCAACAACAGCAACAACTAAAACAACAACAATGCAGCTACTTTCGATTGGGACCTCAGATGGGAATGATTTGTTTTCTTCATCTTGATCAGTCCTGCCTAAGACGGCCACCTGTCTTAGTCTTACACAGGTTTGACTGTAGATGGATATTTTTTCATGAAAAGCAAAATAAATGAACAAGCTTTAAGGTGATACCAATAAGGCCACATACCAAAATCTGGCAGGCGCCTGATTCCACTGCATCATGACACACATTCATTGTTTCTGGTTGAACGACATGACATGCTCATTTTTGAAAATAATCTCACTAATGTTGATCAGCTTAAAAATTTTACAAGGTTTTTAAGGCTTTCAGCTTTAGTGATTAAATTCTCCTAATTTGCATTATTTATTCACTTGTAATTTTTTTTTTGAATGTTTGTTAACACTTTGCAGTCACACAGCCAGCAGTACAAAATGCCCCATCTGGTCACCCAGCCAGGGGAGTGACCGCAACAGACTTCTCGGGCCTGGTGCGGGACCGGAACGGATAATTTTCACTGACGCATTATTGCGCCAAGTGACCTCAAAGTGCTACAGCAGACCTCAAATTTGAAAATAAAACAGTAACCAATATAATGGTAGAGAGTATTTGTGTTCTAACAGAATAGATATCAAAGTTATTCCCTCAGTCTATGAACAGTTAATATAAATGCACTGTTTGCCTATCTAGCATCTTTTACACTTTTGGCCTCTCTCATTTTTTTCTTCACAACTTCATTTCAGGCTGCCTGCATCCCTCAGTTTGTACGCAACAAGGATGTGGCAGTGGAGGCCGTCACTGGCAGTGGCAAGACTTTAGCTTTTGTGGTCCCCATGATGCAGATGCTGTGCAAGAGAGAGATACCTTTGAAGAAACATGAGGCAAGAAGAGATCTGTTGTGTGTGCATGCTTTAAACTGTCTCTCACCATTCCTGTTTTCTCTCTGTTTGGCTTAAGGGGACTGCCTTATAACCTCAGGGATCAACCGTTGTATGGCTTGCTGACATGTAAGAAAGTGGGTAATTTTATACATAAGATTCAAATCATTTTAGTTCTATAAAGCATTAACCTCACAAATAAAGCTGGGATGGGTTGTCTTCTATAGATGATTTAATAGCAAATGTTTTGAAAAACTCAACTACATTTAGGAAAAAGTAGGACTGGTTTGGCTCATACTATGTATTCTTTAATATATTTTTACTTGTCCTAAGTGCTAATAAGTTGAGGAAAGGGGGAGGGGATTGTGATCTGTAGAATTCTATCACATTCTGGGAACATTTGAAACCCATTCTGATCAGACAGCTGAGCAAATATTGTGTTTGTTTGTTTGTTTTGTAAAGTGTTTTACGGCGCTCGCAACTGCATAAGGTCATATGAGCGCGCGGGACACACCTAATATTTTCAGTTGGTAGGAAATTTTTTAATTTTGCCCGGGTGGCGGCCGAAGCCTACTCTTATCGATTTTAGACCTCCAAGGGATCTTTAACGTGCGCAACTTGCACACGGGCCCTCCGAGATTTTTCGCCCTTGTCCGAGAAGGCTAGGTGTAGATCTTTCCTACCAGAAGATCAGGGGTGTGGCAGAAAGACAGCAGTAAGGAGGGGCCAAGGAGTAGCAGTAGAAAGGCTGCAGAAAGAGTCAGGAGCCCAGAGGAGGGGGCAAAGGAGGTGAGGGGGTGGGGGCAGAAAGTGGAAATGAAAGCAGACAACAGAACATTGCTAGAGAGCAGGAAAGGAGGTGAAAGGAGACAATTTTAGAGAAGAAAATTTTTTGGTCGCTACCCGGATTCGAACCCGGGACCTTTGAATGAGAGGCCAACACCTTAACCTCTAGGCCACGAGAGCCCCCTAAATATTGTGTGGGTAGTTTGCAGGTGGTCTGGTGTGGTATGCTCCTTCTTTCTTGTGAAACATTGATCGTCCTTATCTCTGTGCTTTTTCTTTCTTGTGCTTGTTACTCTCTTGTAACAACTCTAACCTTCAGCACTTATTTGACCTTATTGTGCAGCAAGTGCCGTTAAACTCTTACTAAAACAAAAAAGCAGTAACTCAACAATTTAAAACTTTCTTTTCTTGTGGTTTCAAGGTCGGAGCCATTGTCCTCACGCCAACTCGAGAGTTGGCCTTCCAGATCATGGAGGTCGTGTCACACTTCATCAAGTTTTTACCACAGTTTACTTCAAACCTGTTGATTGGAGGAGTTAATCCGCAGGCTGACTTGGACAGGTTAACGACCAGTGGGTGAGCACTACTGATTGTTTGTGCATTTCTGTATGGTTTGTGCTTGTTTAGGGTTTTTTAAAATCTTATTTATAATCAAACTATATTTCTATTGCAAAAATGGTTTATTTCTGCTCAGTTATGGTGTTTATTTCATGCCATTAGGGTTACATAAAGATGAAGTTATATCGAGAAGTTTGTGATGCTGTTGGCCATATTTTACCAAGCTAGAAATGGCTGACATTATATATCAGCCAATGTGGGTGTTTGGCAGGTGCTCTGGTGTGGCTTTCTTCTCCTTTCCTATCCAACATCTATTGTCTTTATCTTTCCTCCTTTTTTGTGTTGGTTACTCTCTTATAACACCTCTAATCTTTGGCACTTACACTTACATGACCGTACTGTGTTGCAAGTGCCGTAAAACTCTTACTTAAACTAAACTAAAACCATCAGATTCCAACTGGAGTGTGAGTGACTAGTCGAGTATAGTAGAAGAATAAGCTGTCCATAATGGGGGGTTATATGCGGTAGTGAAAATTGCAGTTTAGTTTGTTTATTTGCTTATTCTTTCTTTCCAGTGGTCACATCCTGATTGCAACTCCTGGGCGATTGGAGGACCTATTTCAACGGAAGGAGTCAGGGTTCAGCCTACCTGCAAGTGTAAAAGCCCTGGTCTGTAAATTCTGCTGCTATTTTTTCCCCCACTTTCTCTTATTTTACTCCCTGTCTTAATAGTTTGAATGGAAGTGGTTTAGTGCTTGCAAAGAATAACTGTATCTAACCTAATACATGTGTGTTTGCTTTTTGGTACAACGTGGTATTTTTATACTTTGTATTACTGAAGCTGATGAAGCTACATTATTAGTTTTATCATTTGGAAGTATTTTTAGTACCTGGTTTGCATTATTTTCTGTTTCTTACTGCCAAAATTGTTCATTATGAATAATTAGCCTTTTAAAAAATCAATGTGTCATCTCTTTAACTTTGTTACATGAATGTTCTAGTCTTATGGATTTTAAGGCGTAGTTACCTGAAAGAGCTAATATTCTATAAATGAGGAATCTTGCTCTTGCAATAAATTGTGCATACACAGAGAAACTTCAGAGAGGGAAATGAAGTTGTGGTTTTTTTCTGCTTTGATTTTTTTTAAATAGAAAAATTACTGCTGAAATATTGTGATTATTTTTTGTGGGAAGATGAGAAATTATAGACAGAGCGCTTTTAAAAAAATATTCCCTTTGTAAAAATTGGAATGGCTGACTTATAATATTATGAATACAACTGCCTCAAAAAAGCTTTTCCCTTTATTGTTATTCTTTATTTCTTTCAAACAGGAAGTTCTTGTCTTAGATGAGGCAGACAGACTTCTGGATATGGGATTTGAAACAAGGTATGAAACAATGAGGTCTTGCGAAGTTTTCTCATTGTCAGCACTGCGAAAGCTAAATTTTTTGTACCATTTAAAAGAGTAATCGTCTTTCCCGTTTGTTGAAGATGCTGTGGCATAGACGTTAAAATCTCATTTATTATCATTTGTTCTTTCTGATGGAATACTCACATCACTTCACAGTAGCTGACCATTCCTTATTTGACCATCTCAGTCTCCATCTCCATTGATTGACCTGTTTTAGATTCTCAAGGCGTGTTTACAAAAAACAGCCATAACTTTGACAAATTATATTTAGCACAATGGATGTTTGACCACCCCTCAAACTACTGTAATTGGAAAAAAATGTAACCATGAAATATGTTTTGATGTAGAGTGTGCATAGAAAGAATTATCAGATGTAGAAATGGGAACAAATGGAGTGACGATGCTGAGATAAAGGGTTCTTCTGGTTCACCACTTAAAATGCTGATCCAGAGGGAAGGAGCTAAAGATGCTGACAAGTGATTATATACTTCCTTTTTCCTTTTCTTTTTTTTTTTTCAGTTGTATTTTTCAGTCTTAAAGAAAAATTCTATCACTGCTCTCCTCCCTCCCTCCCCCCCCCCCCCTCTAAATGTTTGTTGTTTTTTTAATGTATGCTTGACAATTTGTTTCCCCTTGCATTCTCAGCATCAACACTATCCTGAGCTACCTGCCGAAGCAGCGACGGACAGGGCTGTTTTCAGCCACACAGACAGATGAAGTAGCCAAGCTGATTCGGGCAGGTCTACGCAACCCTATGCAAATCACGGTCAAAGAGAAGCAGAATCGCATGGGTCTCAGCCAGAGGACTCCCACTACTTTGAAGAATTATTACATGGTACGGTTTCCAGTGGGGGGAGGGGGGGGGGGGGGGGGGGCAGGGATATTATTTATGGTGGTAGTCACCATAAGTGATACTTTTAGTACGTGCTTTATGAGTGATCTGGCAAGACATAAATGTGGGTGGATGACGCTTGATAACAAATGGAAAAATGATGTTCAGAGCTTTGAGGTTATTACGTCTCTGAATTTGACATTTTGGGCTCTTGTGGGTTTTTTTTTCATGAACAAAGTCAATGAATGGTGGAGCTGGGTTTCCTGTTCTTCCTGGAATACTTTTCAACTCAGCTGGGAGTTTTGACTTGAGATATACAGGCCTGTCTTTGAAATGACACGCACAGTTGCCTAGTATGGCCTTGTACTTTGTTTTTAGGACTGGACTTTCCACTTTTACCTTTATTTCCGCTGCATGACACCCTAAGGGCTTAGCTGTCTGTCGAGTACTATAAAATCTGATCAGATCACATCAATCAGATTACGCTTTATATTGTCCATATTTCATCGGAAATCAAGTGTGATCCATCTCCCAATAGCTTTTTCATCATTAGTCTGATGCTATCCTCAAGCCTTGCCTTCACAAACATGAAGTCGATAGGGGTACTTTGGCATGAGAGGCAAGGAATTGGCATGAGTGGTTGGTGGTTGGAGGGCGCCACTGGTAAATCCTATTTTATTTTATTTTCCTACCTTTTGTATCCATCTGTCTGTCTGTCTCACTTTTCCCTGACATGGATGACCACCATCATGTCTATGTGCTTTTTAATATTCAATCTAAACGATGAGGAGTTTTCCTAGAGATAATCCCACCCCTGAATATTTTGAGTGATTTATTGACTAAGTGTCCGAGTATGCTAGCTCAGTAAAGATTGCGGGTGGCTGGAGGGCACTACTGGTATATCCTACTTCTTTTCTTTCCCTCTATTGTTTCTGTCTATCTGTCTTGCTTCTTCCCTGCGCTATATGACCTTTCTTGTGTGGATGTGCCTCTTTTTACTCAAAGGAAAAAAAAACAAGTAAAGATTTAAGTGTGTCTTTTTTTTTTTCCCAGTATGTGGAGGCAGACGAGAAGTTCAACCAGCTCGTACATTTCTTGCAGCAACACAAGCAGGAGAAGGTGATGGTGTTCTTCAGCACCTGTGCCTGTGTGGACTACTTCTCCAAATGTGTCCAGCAGTAGGTTCACTGATCTGAACTGTTTAAACAATCGTCAGAGGGGGGAAAGTTGTCTGTGTACTTCTTTTTGTGTGTACCCACGGCAATCATAAATAAGCTTGATGGTTGTGAAACAAATTGTGTCCTTTTTCTTTTGCCAGGCAAAATGTCTGTGCCCACTTTGAATGAAATTGATCTCTAAAAATAATGTGGTTACACACCCCCCTAAACAAGACATTTTCTGCATTTAGACAAATGAAGAGGTAATTCCCCCCCCCCCCCCCGATCATCTGTCTTTCCCCTTTATGTGTATAGTGGTAGCCTCTTTTGTAACTATTGCTGTGGGTGGTTGGCAGATGCTCTGGTGTGGTTTGCACCTTCTTTCCTATATAAAACGTCAAACATTGAAAGATGGTAAGTGGGTGGTTGGTGGTTGCTCTGATGTGGTTTGCTCCTTCTTTCCTATCAAACATATGTTCTTATCTCCCCTTCTTCTATTTTGTGTTTGTTACTCCCTTGTAACACCTCTAATCTTCAGCACTTATATGACCTTATTGTGTTGCAAGTGCCATAAAGCTTACTAAAACGAATGAAAGGAAGTAATGTTTGTCACATGTAATGACTAGAGAGGTTATATCTCAATCATGAAATAAATCAAAAGAAATTTTCTGGATAAAAGAAATGATTAAAAAGATCTAATTTTCCCACAGGTTGTATATTTCTATTTGTTAATTAAGTCAAAAGTTTTAAAGGAGGTTCTTGGTTTGTTGTTGTCTGTTCGTCATTCGCCCCCAACGTATTTTTTGCTATATTCCTGAAGTTCTTTTGTGAAATATATTTACTTGTGGTTTTCTTGCTGTTATTTTCAAGGTAGTCAATTCTGTTATAATTGATGTGATTGCATTATCTTGCATACTCATCTTGTCCTGCTGATGTGCACATGAGATTTCTAAGCTGTAACAAAAAATTGTCATAGCTTCTGAAGAAAAATTACAAATAAACTTTCATTTTTAACTGGAAAGAAGGTGTTTGCCTCATGTGCCAATATATACTATCTGGTTCGAGCGCCAGTCCATGTTGGCGTATCACTGGACCGCTTTGATTTTTTGGGGGGGCTTTCCTCTCTTTGCTGTGTCAGATGAATTTTAAAAAACGGAAGTCTGATGTGCACTTAAGGTCCCTTATAGAGGTCCTAGTAGTTATCTTACCTTTCATGTATTTGAAATAATCTAGAGCAGTGCTTGCCAACCCAGGTGATATCGCACACTGGCGGGTAATTCTGTAATTTTTGTGAGTGGTGAGGATCATTCTGGTACTTATATATCAATAAGTAGTATTAAATGCCCCGCTTAAAAATACATGCAGGTAGGCAGTGCGAAAATATTTGCCTCTTAAAAGTGGCAGTAGTGAGTGCTGACTATAATAAGGTCAGCAAGCACTGGTCTAGTCTTTCTGTCATTTTGGCTGTTCCTGTGGATGGGTGCTCTGGTGTGGTTTGCTCCTTTTTCCTGCAAAAAAATCTTTCATCCTTATAATTCCTCCTTTTTTGTGTTTGTTCCTCTCTTGCATCACCTCAAATCTTCGGCACTGTATGATGTATGACCTACTTGTGTTGCAAGTGCTGTAAAACTTTTACTAAAACAATGTTCCAGTGGGGTTCTCATGTGCACTGATGTAATGGCTCGAGGGGTGGACATTCCAGATGTGAACTGGGTGATGCAGTACGATCCTCCCAGCTCCGCAAGGTGAGTTTGTTCATTTAATTATAGTAACCTTATCGCCTGCATCAATTGGGTACTCTTCCTAGATCTTGCAGTTTGTCTTTATCATCATATTTTGAGTTTGGAAAACATTGCCAGTTTATGTCAGAAATTAATGAAGCCTCACAGACAGTAGCTTCGTGTAAGTTTTATTTTAAGTTTTTAATACATATTCTTAAAATTTAAAATGTAGTGTTCAAGTGAATATTTCGTACCCCACACAGAGAAATGAAAAGTGTCATCCTGATAATTCCACTTGATGTAGGAAGTCCTTGTGAAACTTTCTATCTCAAAAGTGAAATAGTGAGTAGAAACAGCTAAATGCAGGGATTCTCCTGATTCTTTGTACTGACTGACTCTCCTCTCTTGTGTTCAGTGCATTTGTACACCGGTGTGGTAGGACTGCCCGCATTGGTAACCAAGGCAACGCACTGGTGATGCTCCTGCCCACTGAGGATGCTTATGTCAAGTTCATCGAAATTAACCAGAAAGTACCTCTCACGGAGATGCCTAAACAGACAGATGTGCAGGAAATGTCCACAAGAATACAGACAATTGCAGTGAATGACAGGTACATAGTGTGATGCTTGCTTTGTGAATACCTTGTACAGTTTTAAGACAACCAGAAATGTCATAGATTGTTCAACTGTAATATCCAAACAGATTTGTTGTTATCAATCCAGACCCAAACAGCTTATAATTTATACCCCTTTCTACAGTAAAAATTCTAGGTGGCAAAATGATATTTGCACAAGTCCTCGTACAGTGTGTTTGTGAAATGCTCACTTGAGCTGCCTGTGGCTACAAAATACATTTGTATTAACACTTGTGGTACTATGACTTTGGGGGGGAAAGTATGTAAAACACTGTTGTGGTATGTTTAGAGAATTGATGCTTTGCTTGTTTTTTGTGCTAGCATATCTGGTACTAGTGCCAGTGCATGGGGAATGTCAGTTGATTTTTTAAACATTTTTAGGGGACATTTTTTCTTTATAGCTCTTTCCCATTTGTCTATCTGCTTAAATTAAATTCTTTCTCATTTATTAATTTGCCAATAAGCACTGATCTTTGCATGGCACTCTTGTAGACCAGTATCTTGTCTTGGATGAAGGTAAATATTATATTATAATATTGTCCTTCATCTAGTTATGGCAGAATCATTTCCCTTAAAATTAGGCAATCAGTGGTATTTGACACAGGACTGCATTAAAACCCGCAATACTGCTAACTTCGAGCTCGTCCCTGGGTTGGCGGTATAATGGGGTTTGTCTGTTGTCAAAACTTTCCCTAGAGGGTGGCAATTTCCACGTAATGGCCCAATGCAACTCAACCTCAAATCATGATTATTTCTTTTGTATTACATTTTCTTTTTGATACATTTTGATGAGCTCTATTTGTACGATTTTGTTTATCATTTTCTTCTTACAGAGCAGTTTATGAGAAAGGCTTGAGAGCGTTTGTGTCCTTTATCCAAGCTTACGCCAAACATGAATGCAGTTTGATTCTCAGAGTGAAAGGTTTGTTCACTTATTTTCGTTCAAGCCAGTTGAATGTTGTACTGCTAGACACAAAATTGGACTGGGGGGAGATTCTCAAAACACAGTCTGTTTTGTTTTAGTTAGTGTTTTACGGTGCTCGTAACTGCTTAAAGTCATATGAGCGAGCGGAACACATTAAACATTTTCAATTTGGCAGGAATTTTGAATTTTGCTCGGGTGGCGGCCAAAGTCTACCCTTATTAGTCTTAATCGATTTTAGAACCACCAAGGGATCTTTAGCATGCGCAACTTGAACACGGGACCTCCAAAATTTTTGCCCTCACTCCTGAAGGCGAGGTGTTAGATCTTAACTACCCTAAGATCAGGGGTGTGGCTGAAAGGCAGCAGTAAGGAACCTGGAGTAGCAGTGGGAAGAGTCAGGAATACAGAGGAGGGGAGGCAAAAAGTGGAGGTGAAAGCAGATGACGGAACAGGATTAGAGATTAGGTAGGGTTGGTGAAAGGAGAAAGTTTTAGAGAAGAAGAAAATTTTGCCTTCATATCAGATTTCGAACCAGGGACCCATTGAAGGAGAGGCGAGACCTTGAGACCCCCCCCCCCCCCCCCCCTTAACACAGTGTGAGACCATATCAGGAAGCTCAGGTTGTAAAAGATGTGGAAGTTAAATTTGCAAGCTTTGATCATTGCAGAATCATTGTGTATGATACACAAAAGTAGAAGGATGGGTGGTTGGCAGGTGCTCTGGTGTGGTTATCTCTTCCTTTCCTATCGAACTTCTATCGTCCTTATGTCTCCTCCCTCTTTAATTGTGTTTGGCGTTTTCTTGTAACACCTCTAATCTCGGGCACTTAATATAACCTAATTTTGTTGCAAGTGCTATAAAACTCTTACTAAAACAAAAGAAGATGCTTTCGTGCAAAGTTTTTCCACTTTTGATGCTAATAGTATTTTCTGTGCCTTGATTTTATAAATCTGAGCCTCATACAAACACCCCTGTAACCTTGCATGTATATGCACACATGCGCGCGCGCGCGCGCGCACACACACACAGTGTTTTTGGCATTGTGAAGAAATCAATAGCTAGTCAAGATCATGAAATTTAAGAATTGACATTTTTCCAGTGGTTGGGTAATTTTTATTGAATTTGTATTAGCTTAACACCTATTATTATGTACAATTTAAAAACTCATCTCAGTGTGAATCTTGCTGGAAAACGTTGATCAAAGGCCTAAAAAATGCAAATTTGTGCTGTTTCCAAGGACACTCAAGCTTTTGAAGTCACCAAACTTTGATGGCCATTTTCCCGCCTTCTTCACCTCTGACGCCAGGCGACCACCTTTTCCTTCACTCGCAAATATCTTGACTTTTATTTAAGATAGATGGATGTTTTTTCATCAAAAGCAAGACAAAGGAACAAACGATAAGATGAGGCTAATGACTCCATCTGCCCAAAAACTAACAAGTGCCTGATTCCTGATATTTATTTATTGGTCTCTCTTTCCCTCCACTTCTACATAGATCTAGATTTTGGTCGTTTAGCCCAAGGCTTTGGATTGCTTCATGTGCCAAAGATGCCTGAACTGAAGGGGAAGACATTGACAGCCTTCCAGCCCATTGAGGTGGACACGTCGACCATACCGTTCAAGGATAAGTCTCGGGAGAAAATTAGGCTGGAGAAAGCTGCGTCTGAGCCTGTGGTCAAGAAGGCCAAATTGACACGACCACCAAGTGTGAGTTGACATTTGTTGTTTGGTTGTTTTTTTATGCCAAAATAGTTGTGTTTATTAGATTTGTGATTGTAGATTTTATACCGACTTTTGGTAGATGGAATGCATCTCAACTGCTCAGTGTAAGACTCCGTCATATGACACTTTTCGAAATGGCGCATAAAGCTGGCCCCGCGAAAAATTGCATTTTGAAATTTAAAAATTGCAAGGTAAATTGTCTAAAAATTGCAAAAAAATTGCTACCTTCCCATCCCTGGCACATTAATACGGGCTTAACATTTTTAGTTTAAAAAACATGACAATTTAGGTACCGGTAGCATAAAAGCGGAACAGCCTTTTAAAAAATCATGACCCACGATACAAATTTTATTAACAACATTTACTAGTAATAACACATGAGTACGTTAACAATAAAGTTATCGACCAAATATAATACCGTGTGACACAAAATAACGGAATCCTTGGTTTTCGTAATAACATTTAAATGAAGGCATAAAATTTGACCAAATATAGTACCACAGGTATTTGGTTCCTGTAAAGATCTAGAAGTGTAGTATGAGGTTTAGTCTATAACAACAACAAAAATTGATGTGGGATTTTTGAAACTACCTCTAAATGCAAAATTAACTTATGCACCAATCAATTCAGATCCTGTTCTATTTTTCTCTTGAAACTTTCGATACACCGGTAATCTGTATTTAGATCTATTTCAGGTATTTTCTTTTTTATAACCAGTATGGTATTGTTTTAACAAAGTCAAATCGTAAAATACAGCACATTTTTTTTTTCCATTTATAAACAATAGTAATATTAATGTAGATCATTTCTATAGCGCCAACTCCCGTGTGAACGCAACTTAAGGCATTGTACCAAACGGAGTGTCTGCGTACACGGTAACCGGCAACCGGGCATGTAATCTCAGTGTCACGTACACGGTAACCGGGCAGTTCAGAACTCCAAGTTCAGTGTTTGTCATCCAGTGTTGCCTTCAACCTCAGCCCTTTCCCGACTGTACCTTTTTAAAAAAAAAAAACAATAATCCTTCAATTCCGGAGCCCTGTACTTCACAGCGCACAGACTTTGAATGGACTTTGATGACCCCAACCGGTACTCACAATGTGATGCGAAAGCACAGGTTCACTGACTGGTCACGATAACGAGCCCGACAAGTCGCTTGTACATGTATGACTTTCTTTTTTATTTTCAACAAGTGACAGCACAGGACGAATATTGATTTATTTTCATTCCGTTTACCGTGTTCGTAGATACTGAGACTAGGTGCCCGATTACCGTGTACGTAGACACATGCATCATGTACGATTATGAACAATATTCACGCGCGCGCGCTTAAACACACACAAACACACACACACACACACACACACACTCACGTACACCTTACACGCACACACACATGCACACCACACACTCACGCTCACACCTACTTTCTTTTCACAAGCGCACGTTTACACACATTACATCTATGTCTCAGTTTGTGTTGAACATAATGTATTCGGGCCTGAAGTTCTGGTTATAGCTTTTAGAGTACGCCAGTAGGCTAGAGCTGGGCCGAAACCATGATTTACGTAGGCCTATCGGTTCTGTACTCGCACCATTTCGAATTAACAATTCTGTTAAAATTAAAGCGTTGATGCATTTTTGCCTAAAATTGCAAAAAATTGCGAGTTTATTGTGGAACTTGAAGAAAAGCGCGCGCCTGCAAGACCGCTATTTCCTGGGGGGCCAGATAAAAGAAGGGGCTCTCAACTCATGGTTGAGAGGTTATGATGTTCGCCTCTCATTCAGTACGTCCTGGGTTTGAATCCGAACAGCGACAGAAAATATTTTTCTCTAATAAAATTTTCTCCTTTCACCTCCTTTCTTTCCCCCTAAAATGTTCTGTCGTCTGCTTTCTTCTCCACTTTCTGCCCCCCCCCCCCCCACCAACTCTTTCTGCTGCCTTTCTACTGAAATTGATAATCCTTGGCTTATTCCTACTGCCACACCCCCAATCTTATGGTAGGTAAGATCTAACACCTAGCCTTCTCGGATAAGGGGGGAAAATTTTAAAGGTCCCATGTGCAAGTTACACACATAATAGATCCCTCGGTGGTCCAAAATCAATAATTATTAAAGTAGACTTCGACTGCCACCCAATTAAAAATTAATTCCTATCAAACTGAAAATGTTTAATCTGTCCCCGCGGAAATTTGAAAATTGCAACCCCAAAATACCCAAATTTGTCCAAAATATTGCCAAATTTGCCAAGAAAATTGCATTCAGAGTCCTTACAGACAATTGCTGCTTACTACTATAGTCATGTTCTACTGGAACTTTTGCAGCCCATTGAGTTATTTCCTCAATATCAAGAGACACCAACAGTGGCGTCGGTAGCATCGGTAGCCTAGTGGTTAGGCTACCGGACTCGTAATCGTGAAATTGCGAGTTCGGGGGTTCGAGCCTCAGCTCGGTCCGATGTTGTGTTCTTGGGAAAGGCACTTTACACAAACTTCCCACTTGGCTCGGTCCTATCGGAGACGGACGTTAAACTAGGAGGTCCCGCCCCTTAAATAACCTAATAGTGTTGATAGGGGCGTTAAACCTATACCATTTCACCATTTTTTTTTCAAGAGACACCAAAAAGGACAGATAAAATTTTTGCTTCCTTTTTTCTTCTGTTTCATGTTTTTCACTCCTCAGAGTCATGATTTCCTGTCAGGTGACATAATATTTTTTTTATTTTACTCTACAGTCAGAAGCATGGTCCAAACATAAGGAGAAAAAGGAGAAACGAAGAAAGAAAAAGGAAGACAGGAAGACAAAGTCCTTGAAACGGAAGGCACGGGATTCTCCGGAGGAAGAAGAAGAGGATTTCGAAGACGATATTCGCCTGATCAAAAAACTGAAGAAAGGAAAGGTAAGCTGAACTTAATTGAGTAAGAGCAACCTCTTCTGTGCTGCTGTTATACATTTTTTCTGGCCACTTATTGTTGACATTTCTTAAACTCAGAGCCAGGCTGCCTTGATCATGCTTGTTAAGGGGGAGGGGTAGGCCTTACTTTATAACCTATCTCGGTAACTATGAAAGTTCAGGTAAAGCCTTTTGGCAAGGAGGTTTAACAGGAAAACATCTCTAAAAAGCAACGTTACTTTTTTTTTTTTTATCCTCCGTTACCATGGTAACGGCGGCCATATTGAAAATAAACAACTTTTATAAATCTTGAAAGGCTTTTTTATTTACTGACTGAATTTATTCAAATTTGGTACATTGATCGATATACTCAAAACAAAATATTATACAACAGGGCTCTTGGATATCTTGTATAGGAAAAAAGTTATAGATGGACAACTGACCTACCCCTTCACACCTCTGAATTTCAGTACATAATCGCCAATAACTCAAGTATAAATGTACCTATTACATTTTCCTGTTGTATTAAGTTTGATTATGATGTGAACAACAAACCCTGAAAATATCAGAGAAATCGATCAGAAAATAAAAAAGTAGATGAGAAAAAGGTATCAAAGAGTAAAGTTTTGAGAAAAACGACATTTTGTTTCAAAATAGACCCCAACAAAATTACTGGGCGGAAAATCTGAAAGACGATGATTGTAACATGCACAACAAGCATTTATGTTCTTGTGAATCACAGTTTCATTACAATCCAGTCAAAAATATGCTAATATGAAAGTAAATTGTGAGCATGGGGTACTGACTGTTCAAAACCAAAAAACGAAGAAAACTGTGATAGTGTCCGTTAGAGTACACTTCAAACCATCCCAGGCCCATATACCACACCAGCCTGCTCTATTGCCTTCGCTCGCATCACCTTCCTCCTCTTCGCAGCGGCCTTCTGTACATCCTGGCTTTTGTACAAACGCTTGGTGGTGCGGGCAGAGTTCAGGCGCTTAGTGTTTATCCCAGAAGGTACACCAAGTAAATCCTTCAACTCGGTTGTATATCCTAGGCCAAAGTTGAACTCGGCAGCAGCAGTGATGACAGCTACTTCGACCCGTTGATTACTGCGGAACTGACATTTGCTGCATTTGGCCCAGACCGAGTGGTGAAAACTTTAGTTTGCATTCTGGGTCGCCTTGCGTTCACACCGAAGAAGTAGACTATCGGCGGTGAGCCTTTCGTAGAGGGGACGGAGGTGCTCATGCAGCAGTTCAGAGTTTAGGGGCGTGTGCAGTGGGTTGGCTTCGGATGGCCCTCCAATAGTAGATGGACAGCTTGCGAATAGTGTTGGCTGTTAGCCTGCCATGGACTCTTCCACCTAACGTGACGCCTTTCTTGCTGCAGTCGCTGACGAGGTTCCGTAACGCAGTGCCCAGCTGCTTCCCCACATGATTTAGGCACTCCTCCTTCACAACCTGGACTCCAGGACCGTACGGCTTCACCTCTGTCACCTTGTTGAAGGCTTTGGAGTCTCCATCACCAACAAACGTGGTGTACTGCAGGCCGAACTTTTCCACTAGACGACTCCACAACCCAACTGCAGCCTCCACCTCCATCATCCCCGACGATCCACTATAGTTTATGTTGCAGCCACTAGCTTTGTGCTCCGTCAGCCATGCATCGTAAGCCAGGGGAGTGTTCATCTTCTTCCACTGACCAGTGGTAGCACAAGTCCTGGCAATGAAGGCTCAGGACATGGCTGTCGAGTACTAGCCCGGTCAGTATGTCGATGACGCAGCCAATACCGACGAGGGACTTGTGGCCACGCGTCAGCCAGGAGCCATCGAAGCTCACGGCGATGTCCAGCAAGCCATCCTCCGTGACGCAGCCCATGCTTTGGCAAGCCTGGTGAACAGCGTTGGCAGCCTGAAGAAATACTTTGTCCGCCAGAGACTCACTCTTTACGTACACCTGAGTGGCATACTTGTTGAAGGTCTTCGGATTAAGACTTGGGACATCCAGGTGAGCACATAATGTGTTGAACTGGTACAGCCCCAGGCCAGACATCAGAGCCGCAGCTGTGGCACTCTGATTCACCTTGAACGGTTTCCTCTTTGCCGGGGTGCCGGTGTCGAGGGAAGACGTGTACTGGGGCTTACCGACGACGTTAGAACATTCTGAGCAGAACAGGGAGAGCCGAAGAGCCAGGCCGAACTGACCCATCTGATGTAGAGACAAAGTCCCAACGATGCCACGCTGGGGACACTGAAGCTGCTGGAACAGTCCTTCAACCTGCGACAACTCCACGATGGCTCGAGACGTATCTTCAGCAGCAGCAGGCACGACATACCTACTCAGCTTCTCCTGGGAACGGAGAGGGATCAGCAGCAGAGGGTCCGGTGGAAAGACAGACCGCGGGGTCTCTGGAATATCCAGAATCGAAGACGATGCAGGCATCTCTGGGGGCACAGGGACAGAAGACGAGCACTGCAGAAAAAAAGTTACGGACAAATCAGCTTCATGCAAGTAAATTTCTGGTACTGAATATTCAAAATCTGTTGACTGAAAATGTTAAAACATTAGGCCTGTAGGCCTACATGAAAAAGTCATACAGTTGAACAAAATTGTGCCTATATAAAAGTGAATAGAGGGCCTAGGTAACCATGCATTTCAAATTCAGTAAGAAGAATCAATAGATATTTTTCATTTCTGCAACACACACACACACACACACTCACAAACCACATAGATTTAGATCCACACACGTTACTACTACTAGATAGATCTATCTAGATATATAATTCTAGTACCACAAATACTAAAGTACACACACACACGCGTGCGCACACAAACCACACACAGATCTTGATCTACACACGCTACTACTAGATCTACTATTAGATCTATCATTCTAGTACATTTATACTAAAGTACACATATAAATTGATATCACTAGGCTAGAGAATCTAGTCTACGTACCTCAGCCTCAGCTTCACAGCTCCTATCGAGTTCCAGTTCCACAGCCTTTCCACGCATCCCACGAGCTTTCTGCAGCTCCTTCGAACGACCAGTCACCTTCTTCTTCGGCATTTTCAATAATAACGCAATTCACAAATCTAGAAAAAAATCTAGAATGTCTGCTTCAAGTATACAAGTAGGCCTAAGTAAGTAACAACCTTACTAACAATATCAGAGGCGAGTGAGCACAGAAATTGTAGAGCGTTATTGACACAGTGACGCTACCATCCAGCACGTAATCTGAAAGTGACCCTTTGTTTCGAGAGACAGTGTTTCTTTGACTTGAGACTACACACCAAGTACACATGCGCACAAACAATCGACACACATGAGCCTGTACATTAAGAAAATCCTTTGTTCATTCAAAAAGACGGAAAATTCCACATGCAATGATGGGTCAAGCTTTGCGGAAGTGACCTTGTAGCTATGGTGGAGAACCAACAGAATTCGAGCATTCCTTGCCATCATTAGCATTAGCCAATCAACATTCAAGGTCATCTCAGTAGTAAATATTCAGCCCACAATCTAGGTCAATCTTGGTCAAACCTTTGTCTCGTTCTGAGCAAATAGGAAGCGGTGATGAGACTGAGACGTCATGACCCAGTTGCATATTTATTCAGACAGAGGGGAAAATAACGATTCCATCGATATACAACACTGTATGCTTATTCCGAGATAAACTATAATTATTGGTAGGTCAATTGATGAGAAATAGATCATGTTTTCTGAAAATCATACAATTTTTGCCCTACCCTAGTGTTTTGAAAGACAATTTTAGGTAGAAATACACTATTTCCAAATTCCCTCATAGCTATTTTTAGGTACGGGAGAGGTTGAAGTTTCACATGTAAAAAACCTCGATACCGTAATTTAACCCCAAAATCGTCCGTTTTAAAAGCCCCCCCTTAAGGCTGTGTGGTATGCCACCAAGCTGAAAGACTGATGTAAGCTACTCTATAATAATCTTCCCCCTCATCAAAATCAAATTTGTGCCCTCTGCAGTGCAGTCAAGGACAAGAGCCATACATTAATCCACAACCTCTGGTGCCAGTGCCTTTCTTGAAAGAAATATCATTCGGGTTGTTGTAAGTAATCTTATATTTTTAAGTCTTTTGATGAATTGGGTCATACTCCATGGAGACACAAAAATTGGTGCCATGGAAAAAAATACCCTACACCATTGGTTACTGCAATTTCGTGCAACTAGCATCTATTGGTGTTTGGAGCAAGGTTTGTCTCCCTGTTCTGCAGTTTGGAAAATTATTACAATTTTTTTTTTGTAAGTAGGTGTTAATACAATTAATTTAGACTGATTTAGATTAAGTGTCATCGACAAATTGACAGAAAATAAAATCCCATTTTTTCCTCATCTATTTGAGCTGCCAAAGAAAATCCAGTGGGCCAACAGCTTTCAATTTAAGAGGACTCCGCTGTATTGGTGATTTGTTTCTACGTTGAAAGGGCAAGCACTCCTTAATTACAAAGGCACCTACCTTCCGAAAAATTCTTTTGTCTCTTTATCTAATGAGGTAGTACAGGTTAGTAGATCTCTGTATCCACCCTCATAGTTTACTTGCCCCCACCTTCTTCCAACATTTATACATGAAAGACTCACATCTGACATTGCCTTTTTTTGTAGTTTATTTTGAATAAGTCTTGTCTAGTCTACACAAAGTGTTTGATCTCCAGTATTTTATCCACAGATTTCAAAAGATGAGTTCAACAAAGAATTTGCTGGAGATGTGTCTGATTAACTACAGAGGGCCCCAAGTCATTTCAATAAAAAGTGCATATATGTGAACAAACACTTTTAGATCAGTTGAATTATTTCTCTTTTTCATCCTGTATTTTCTGATGCTTTGTCTGTTCTTCACGAATCTGGTATTTTTCTTTTCTTTCTTTTTTTTAAAAATGTCTTTTTACACATTTATAATCCATTTGTTAAGAAGCTTTGATACCATTCAACTTCTCTGTAAACAAATAGACAACACTATGAAATTTACAACAAATTAACTGGACTCGTAGAAATTAAATTGTGCATTTTTCAAATTTAATAATGAGATTTATCTCGTAGGAAACACTCATACATTCATACTCACAGGAGAAAGATTTACACAAGCACTGAGAGGAAGTTCCACCATGTGTAACAATCAATCAAGCTGGGTTCACACAGATACATACACACATACACGCAATTGTCATCAGACAAGAACTTGATGCTGAAACATTGCCATAAGCATACTGTAATCCAATGGGAAAAAAACTATGTATTTTATTACGATTCTTTGATACAATTGTAAGTGCAAGGGGTTTAACGCCCGTCTCAACACTATTGAGTTATTTAAAAGGCCAGACCTTTGAGTTCAACTCCGATAGAACCTAGCCAATTGGGTAGAGAGCCTTGAAAACCCCAAGAAATGACCAGAGGTCAAGAACGCCCAGTCTAGGATTCAAACCAAGGCCACCTGCTCCATAGTCCAGCATGATACAAACTGAGCTAACGTAGCACCCCCTTGCAACAAGCAAACAGTCTGTGAACACATAAAATTGTCTAACTAAAGCTAATCAACATGCTCGTCATCTGCTGCCCTCTCTGCTGTCTTGTGAGTCTAAAGGTGCTGACCACTCTGGTGGTGGGCTGGTCCTGTACTCCCACACGTCGTTAGCCTTGGCGTTCTGAATCCGTTCTTTGCGTCTCTGCCGCTCGCTGGCAATAAGAGATTCCTGTTGGAAAATGCAACACCAGTGGTTTTAGAAAGTGTGAGCAGCAAGATAGAGTGAAGTTCCATGAAATGACAGTGCCATAGAATCGAGTATGGACAACCTACGCTCATCACAGTGACATTTTCAGAATTTGTAGAGAGGCTAATCGAATTTATCAGGTTACACTAATGCAATGTAGGTGTTTCTCTAAAAAATTAATAATCCAAAATGTAGTTGAGACTGAGATAGTAATAGTAGTAGTAGTTCCTAACAGAGCAAATAATTCTAAATATTTGCAGTTCTTGAAACATTCAACTTAAGCAGTTCTTGACCAGTGGTACTAATTACACATTCAAAACTGGCATCTGTGGTGTAGTGGTTTGGCACTTTGCTGTTGCACGCAGGAGAGCCCAGTCCGATTCCAAGTGGGGAGAAATTTTGTATTGATTATCTTGGTCTTTCTGTCGGGATGTATCCCTTTCAGCTCAGGTTTGCCGTGACAGGCGAGGTAAGGAGCCCGCCTCCAAAATTATCTACATTGTGCAGATAATAAATACTGTGAGATAAGATATAAGGCCATGCAACAGGGCTCTTAATTCTTAACATTCTTCACAGTGTTCATATGACTTTATGCAGTTGCGAGCGCCGTAAAACTCTTACCAAAAAAATAAAAATTCACCAATATACAGAGCCTAGAATAAAAAATATTACCAGCGCCTCCATGTCTTTACTTTTCCTAAACCGCATGCAGTTGTTGTAGTCTGTCAGCCATTGGGAACAGTCCGACCAGGAACCATCAATGTAATACTGGTACAAACGACTCAAGAAACCTGAAACACAACAACAGCACTGACTATTGGCATGAAGGAGACATAATTTCTTTTTCTAGCAGATATGTAATGTCGTTTCACTACTGAGCAAAGATCGTAAGTAATATAAAGAAGGATAATAATAATAATAAAAGACTGCATTTATTCAGTGCTCTATCCCATTCATGTATAATCTCTGAGTCTGAGTGTTTTATTAACCTTCATAAAGTGCTGCAACAATTTTCTCCCACAGCACATGTTTCTGATGACATACTACCACTATTCTCACAAGATTTGTATAGCAAGGGATCCACTTATGGTTTTTTTTTCTCCGCGTTCAGGACCGTACCCAACAAAATTTTCCTATGCGCTAGAGCTCGATATATATACGCATGAACATTGGCATATTTTTACTTGATGATGATGGCAGATTGCATCAGAAGGCGTTTCAAAGCACAGTTTTTCAAGTACTGTATGTCACTGGATGAGAGAATCAAGACAGCAACGGATCCAAGACTACGGGATGAACAGGCTGGTTTCCGGAAAAATCACTCAACCACCGACCAGATTGCCACGCTGAGGATTATTGTGGAACAGTCCCTAGAGTGGAACTCTAAGCTGATCGTCAACTCCCTTGACTATGAGAAGGCTTTTAACATTAGAGACCGAGCAACACTATGGAAGATACTGAGACATCACGGAATCCCACAGAAGTTGGTGAACCTCATCAAGAGCATGTACGAAAAGACAAGTTGCAAGGTTGTACATGATGGCCAGCTCACTGACAACTTTGACATCAAGACTGGTGTGAGACAGGGATGTTTACTATCACCGTTCCTCTTCATAATGGCAGTCGACTGGCAGATGAAGAAAACCACCAGAGGACACAGAAACGGTATACAGTGGACACAGTTGGACGATCTGGACTTTGCAGATGACTTGGTGCTTCTGTAACACACTCAGGAACAGATGCAAGCAAAGACCACAATTTTAAACAGCCTATCAGTCTGTTGGATTGAGGATCCACCCCGGAAAGTCAAAAGCCCTCAGGATAGATGCACTGCGAAAGGAGCAGGTCACAGTACATGTAAAAGGAAATGCACTAGAAGACGCCGAATCCTTCTGCTATCTTGGGAGTATAATTGACAGAGAGGGAGGAACAGGCGCTGAAATAAAGTCCCGCATTGGAAAGGCACAGGCTGCATTTATTTCTTTGCGTAGGATTTAGAGGACCAGGGATATCTCATTACGAACAAAGCTTAGAATTTTCAACTCAAATGTGAAGTCAGTCTTGTTGTATGGATGTGAGACGTGAAACGCATCCCATACGTGCATAAAGAGGATCCAGGTTTTCTTGAGCAAGTGTCTGAGGAGGCTGCTGGGTATCAAATGGACAGACAGAATCACCAACGAGGAAGTATTAAGAAGAACCAGACAGAGATAAGGTGGGAAGAATGGCGATGGATCGGACACACTCTCAGGAAGTCAAGCAGCTGCATAACAAGAAAAGAGTTAGATTGGAACCCACAGGGGAAGATCTCGTGGAACCTGGAGAAGAGTCACAGAAATGGATGCACAGAAAAGTGGGAAGACGTGGAGTGACATCAAGCGACTAGCCCAGGATAGGGAAAGTTGGAGAGTGTTGTTCGTGGCCTATATCCTGATCCAGGGAGATAAAGGCGATGATAATGTCACTGGATAATCCCAAGCGGGAGAAAAAGAATAAAAGTAAAAGCAAACCAAAATAATTATTACAATTCATCCTTCACCTACTTCCTAAAAGAAACTAAATAACAACACTATCAACTAGAGGAAACTCAAAGAAGCACATTATTTATTATGATATGGAAACTGATACAGTTGAAACTAGAGACGGGCGGGAAGCGCTTTTTCCTTCCCGAGCAAGAAGACCGAGAAGCTGACCTACTTCTCACCGGGACCGGTCCCGGGAACGAGAAATACTTCCCGTCTCGTGTCTCGAGCAATGTTTCTCGTCTCGTGACCAATTTCTCTTCTCGCCCCGCAGTTCTAGCCACTCGTTCAGCGAGAAGGCCAGTCGTGGCAGGGATCTAAACTTAGAAACTAGGCTTGCCCTGTTGCGCTGGCGCAGGCGGTGAAGGAAGGTAGGGAGACCTAGGCCTAGGCCCTGATCAACTCCCCACTCTCCTCGTCTCGCCACCCTCTCCCCTCCCTTTCAGTTTCACACACAGGACGGCACGGTGATGGGTGGCACTATCTGCGTTGTCATTTCTCGCCTCTCACTCTCTCACTCTCGTTACTGTTACTCGTTATGTCAAGCCAACGAGCAGTATAACGTCTCGGTACCGAGCAGTAGTTTAGTGCCCGAGCAGCGACGGGAAGGGCGTTTCTCCGAGAGAAACGAGTACTCGGCTCGTCTCGTGCCCACCCCTAGTTGAAACTGCTTGAGACGGTCATCCATAGTCGAGGAGGAAGGTAGCCGTATTAGACCGGTGATCCTCCTACACAGTGTCATTATAATGAAAAAAATATGCAATGGAGAAATAGGAAGTGGCTATTTGTTGTACAGGTCATTGTTTTTATACAAGTGGCCATTAGAGCATGTTCCACTGGACTTGAATGGCATACTTCCATCAATAGGCCTACTTTACTCTCGACCTTTCCATGTTCCCTTCTCAGCCCCATATATCCCCCCCCCAAAAGTGCCAGAGATTGGCATATGCATTACTCACTTTTGCAGTCTCTGTGTTCTTCTTTATACACTTCACATGGTCGCATCTAAAAACAGAAGAAAAAAAAATCAATTATTATATAGAGGTAACTGCTAACTAAAAGTAGTAAACAATGCCTGGGAAGCTTAAATTGTCTTCAAAATTAGTACATGAACAGAAACACAATACAGAACTGAATGAAGAAAGCAAAGGACTTGGAGAAGACTAGACTAGGAACAAGGCCTGCATTCGACCAAATACCCGAACCAAGATTAAACTACCACTACCACCTGATGTATAGTATAGTATATATCGTCGGTCATCTTAAGAAGTGTCGTATCAGCAAAACTAGTGGTTTTTGGTCTTCTATCATGATTTTGGTAGCCATTGATGAGTATAATCTAGATTAGAATCTAGAACTAGAGTCTAGATCTAATCTAGACCTAGATCTAGAGATCTAAATCTAGATTCTAGATTTAAAAGTGGTCGCTCGATTGAAGAATTTAACGTGCTAAAGCTATTTTAAAGTATAAGATCACCGGTTGCTTTAGGTTTGTGTGCCACTCTTTTGGAGCTCGATTTACTTACAAACAAAGCTTCAAATGATCTTTTTGTACTCCAGTGCCCGGCAGCTAGAAAAAATACGGGTAAATTTTTACTTTCACTCCCGCACACAGATGCACTGTTTCAGGGGTCAAACTGCTGTACTGTTTGCTGCAGATCACACATAAAGCCACTAAAACTGTCGCAAATCAATTATTTTCAAGACAATTTCAAATCTAACTGTAAAATATCAAATTATGGGTGTAAAAACAGGGGGGCATGCCCCCCTGTAACCCCCCAGATTTTCTTTTACCCCAGTGGGGCAGGCCCCCCTGGAACCCCCCGATTGGTCCAAAGCATGTCTATCTCGGTTAAAAACAATCAAATATTTCAAAAACTATTAATTTGCGACGGAAATGAAGTTGATATTCCACAGCGCCGAAAACTGGCCGAAATCGTGCCTCTTAGTTTCCCAGGCCAGCGACATCTGGAAGTCATTAAATCACCGTCGGAACCGCTCCGTGCCGGGTTACGCGGGGGTCACTGGCCGCTCCGTTGCGCATCAGCTACAGGCGGGCAGGTCATGGCGTAATCGACATGTTTGACACTAATTAGCGGCAGTATCCTCACTCTAACCACGAAATATTCCATACAAAAAGAAAAGACCAAGATTCTCTCTCTCACTCTACGAAAACCCGATCTTAATGTGGCGATATTTGCCGATGTTACAGTGTGTGCAAAATATTCTGAATTTCATCGAATTTAATCTGTGTGTGCACTTTATTCACTTCTAATTTCAAAAGTGCTCGATCAATCTCAACAAATTTTGGTACATGCACTGATGACATATTTGTGCTTTACGTGTGTAATTTTCATCATCGTTTGAAGAATAGTTATTGCAATATTAAGTCGTTTACATCTGATTCTCAGCCAGTGATTGTTATTTGTCCCATGCAACTGTGTATTCTGGATTCTGTACTGTTTTAAGTTCAACAGTTCTCCGTTAATTTCATAGATTGTTGTTTCTATGAAAGGCAGACATATTTGTGCTATTGTGTATAAATTTCATTTTTGTTGATTGAGCCATGTTACGATATTAGGTAGAATCCATTTGCCCGTGATTCATGTATAGCAGTTTTACTGAAATCTCCAAATGGAACACACACACGAGATACATTTCTCCTCCCTGAATGAACTTTGTCGCATTTGTGGGTGTAAGAACGTGACTAAAGTACAACAGAGGCAAAAAAGAAAGGCTAGGACATGTGACTCACTGCAAAGTGATATTTTATTAATTTATGAAATTGACATTAGAGAAGACACAGATGACAAATATTCGAAGTTTATTTGCCACAAATGCCACATGAGGATATATGATACTAAGAAGAATACCACTCCATCCACCCTTAAAAAAGCGCGAGATCTGGTCAGAAACAGTCAACACATATGGTGTACATTCGAGAATCAAACTACGATAAAAGATTGCAGTGTTTGCCGTCATCGTGTCAATTTGTCAGATGGCTGCCTGAAACCGGCAAAGGAGCCCGCCGCAACAGTTGCTGGTGACTCTCCCAGCACCAGCCCTAGCCTCCACTCACAACACAGCCCTGTCACACCCAGTCAAACAACCTCCACATATGATGACCCAACAACCAGACCCTCTAGTTCAAACACACATTCTTCCCACATAAACACTGTTTTTCCCTCACAAACACAAAGTGCAGAACAGAATGAAATTACATGTATTTCAATCCCTCTTGCAACATCAACACCACTAAGACCTTCAAAACCAGAGTTGAAAGACATTGGCACTTCTCCAATGTGCCTACAAACAGATAAGGTTCACCAAGACAGCACAACATCCCCACTTTTCAAAACTTTAGATGAGTCAGACACGTTAGCTCACTCACTCAGCCAACCTCTAGATGCACCTCTCAGTAAGAGGGAGGATGATGTCAGCACACATTTGTTTAAAAGAAAACTTTTCACTACTAAAAATCCACAAAATGTAGTCACATTCAAAACAGGGGGACAGCCAATTGCTGTAAAAAGATTAATTATTCCAAGAAAAGATTCTTCTGAAGCAGCTAGTCCCACAAAGAGAAGACGGTCGCGATTGCTAGAAGGTACGAGAGCAAATGTTGCTGGACCATCGATGTCAGCTGAAGACATTCAGTTTGCCTCTGAATTGAAGAAAATGCCAGGAAAAAGGAGGCAAGGGGTTTTCAACAAAGCTGGGGCTCAGAGTAGGATTAGATTAACCCCTCAACAAACTTTGATTATGAAAGAGACAGCGGGATTTAGCGGTAGGCAGGGTAGGTATTATGGGAAAGCTTTAAAGCAAGTAGGGGTACACTTGGCTAATGAACATTCCGTTAGGAAATTATCAAAAGAAGTTGTGTCAGACTCTGTAGAAGTTGAGCACAGAATGTTTCTTGACAACCAGGGAAAAGAACAGGGTGTCCCGTACGGCCGCATTAAGAATTTATCCTCATTTGTTGATAGCCTGTTAGATGAGTATGTTGAGAATGACCTCCTTGTGTGGCCTGACACAATACCACAAGAGGAAGTGTGGATCAAAATTGGGGGGGACCATGGCAAAAACTCGTTCAAAATGACACTTCAGACAGTCAATACATACAAACCCAATGCTAAACAAAACACAATCGTCATTGCTACAGCCGCAGTAAAAGACACACATGAAAACATAGTTAGGTTTTTAGCTGGGGGTTTAGGAGATGACATCGCATCACTATCGGCACATACATGGAGGGGGAAAAGGCTCAAAATCTTTGTCAATGGAGATTATGATTTCATGTGCAAAATGTATGGTCTGTCGGGTCCACAAGGAACGCACCCATGCCTGTGGTGCTTGATACCTAAAGCCAAACACTATGTTTTTCCTGAAACTTATCAGCAAAGAGATCTGCACATGTTACACACAGACCATGCTGCGTTCATGGCACAACATGGTGGGGACAAAAAGGGAGCAGCTCAACATCACAATTGCTTGCATGCACCTTTACTCACAACAGAACTAGACCATGTTACACCTCCATACCTACACATATTGTTAGGTATTGTTCTAAAACACCACAAATTGTTAGAGATAGAAGCAGACAAACTTGATAGGACTATTGCATCCATGACACCCAAAACTCTCACAAAGCTTGGACTTACACTTATGAAATATGGACAAAATTACAAGACAGCACAAGAAATACAAGAAAAGATCCGCTTTACTAGGACATGCGCTGCCATGAGTGACACACAAGAAGAGAAAGGAACGTTTAGGACAGAGACAAGGCGGCTGCGGCACACCCTGTCTGAACTAGATCGCGTTGAGCTGTCCCCCCGATCTGGACCAGTGGCTTCAAGCCTTGACACCATTCTCACTAAACACCGCATTACGCCACAAGCTTACCACAGTCGATCATTCATTGGCAATCATTGCCACAAATACCTCAACCCAAAGGTGTACAGACATCTCACTCAGACAATTGTAGAGCAGACACAGATGTACACGTATGATCCAATCATTGTTGACAAAGCACACACAATAGGTTTGATTTTCGACTCACTCAACAAAGCATACAGTCAAATCCATGATGACATCTCACACAGCATACCTATTCCGAAAACCTCTATTCCAGCAATTCAGACAGCAATAGACACGTACATGAAGCTGTACAGAAGACATTTTCCAAAAAAGACAATCCCCAAACAGCACATTTTAGAACAACACTGCATTCCATTCATAACACAACACGGCTTTGGCTTGGGCCTGCTGGGAGAACAAGGAACTGAAAGCTGTCACCAGTCTATTTCAAAAATTGAAAAGCGGGCTCAAGGCATAGTAGACAATACTGAAAAGCTACGATATGTTTTGAACGCACATTTGCTCCAGACAGCGCCTTCACTGCGCATCGAGGCTGCAGGCACCGAGAAAGCAACCACGGCACCATAGATAAACGTATATATCTACAGTACAAAATGTGTAAATAATCTAGATCTGAGTCATTAATGAAAGATACTGTGATGTGAATTTAATCACAAGCCCGACGAATTTGACTTTTGAACGAAAAAGCAAAAATATGGATTATTGATCTTCCAACGATGATGTCCTTTGGTGAGTAGATACCCACATTATTTGTCTTTATTCTGAGCCAGTTTTAGTGAATTTATTCGAGCTCTTTGGTTGTTACATAACTTTTAATTCAGTGTATATTACATTAATTACCACATATAAGACGGCTGTATTTGATCGCATGCAGTTACAAAACTATACAAGATATCTTTGTTGCGTTTTCACAAACTGTACATTGAAAGAAGAAGCTCAAAGATGGAACACTGTGTATATATTGATAACCCTGCTTTCATTCGTGAGCGTTGAAACAAAACTGTGTAAAATTGCCGTGGTATGTAACTCCGCGCGTGGATTGAGCGCAGGTAGACTGACCGGCAGCTGACCCCGGTCACGCTGACCTAGCGGCGTACGGCCTGGCGAAACTAAACGACCGCTGATTCGGCGCTGTGATTCGTGTTCAGCGCATCAATATTTAGTAGAAAATAGACAACTGGTAGCTGAGTGTGAGACGGGAGGGAAAGTTTAAAAAATACCAAAAAACGTGCTGCCCGACTCGGTACGATTACTCTATATCGTCCAGTTTTTGTACAATTTATCGTTACGTGTAACCGGTTAAGAAGAAGATGGTCCGTGAAGACAGATCTCAGAGTCAGCTTTAGTTCAGACTTCGGGGAATAAGACTCCAAATCTTTAACAAAATGGCATCAATTGAGGGATGGGTGTAGTGTCTTTATTGCTAAGACTAGATTTAAATAAATTAGAGGATAAATGCCCACAAGCCAAATGCCATCAGGTAGATTTGCAGCCGTCTGTGTCTTGCTGCCCATTGCTTCAGCCTGGTAACCTTGTTTATCGGCCATTTTGACAATGTAAATTATGGATCTAGCCTAGGCTGATTTTACGAGTCAAAGAAGCTCAACTTGAAAGATCAAGAATAATTTTAGGCATGCCGCATGCCCATTGCCCATCTGCTGAAGCAGAGGTTTATTAATGTAGAATGCTACTGATTCAGCCCCATGCAGCTGTAGCGCTCTATTCATCTGCAAAATATTATTATCACTAGCTTTTTTTATCTAGCAGAGCACGCAAAAAGGGATTAAATCAAGTTTTAATGCTATCGTTATCCATCACGAATAAGGCCAGATAGATCTAGATCTAGTAATACAAAAAAAAACCAAAAAAACAATGGGGGCCTAACCATTTTTACTTTCGTCTCCTTGGTGTAAATACTGGTTGATTTTTTTAACAGAGTAGAAAAGATAGCTAATGATTCTGAGAAGGAAATGTCCGTCTTTTATCGACAGTCTACAAAGGATATAAAGCTACGAGCTCTATAGATCTATGCATGACGTATATTATAATATATTATCAGTATAGACCTATCTAAAATTATGATACATGAGACTCTCTCTCTCTCTCTCTCTCTCTCTCTCTCTCTCTCTCTCTCTCTCTCTCCCCCCCTAACCACTGCTTGTGCGTTTCTTTGGTCGCCTCTTCGCGCCCCCACACAATCCCTGAATATACATTACTGTCGCTTTTTCGATAGGCATACAGCTTCTTTTTTTTTTTTTTTTGCTCTAGTAAACTGTGTTTGTGTATCTTTTTGTGAAGGATAGCCGTTGCGGATGACATTAAACTCTAAGATTCTTCTCCTTCTTATTTTCTTCTTCTTCTTTGTCGTCAACTTCGTTATTGTCGTCAACGTTGTCGTCGTTGTTGTCGTGGGTGGTAATTGGAATGTGCTCTGGTGGGGTTTGCTTCTTCTTTTCTATCAACTCCTCTGGGTTCCTGATTCTTTCTGCAGCCTTTCTACTGCTACTCATTGGCTTCTTCTTACTGCTGTCTTTCAGCCACACCCCTGATCTTCTGGTAGGAAAGATCTACACCTAGCCTTCTCGGACAAGGGCGAAAAATCTCGGAGGTCCCGTGTGCAAGTTGTGCACGTTAAAGATCCCTTGGTGGTCTAAAATCGATAAGAGTAGGCTTCGGCCGCCACCCGGGCAAAATTCAAGATTTCCTATCAACTGAAAAAGTTTAGTGTGTCCCGCGCGCTCATATGACCTTATGCAGTTGCGAGCGCCGTAAAACACTTACAAAAACAAACAAAACAAACAATTTCCTATCAATCGTTATCGTCTTTATCTCCCCTCCTTCTTTTTTTTTTTGCGTTTCTTACTTGATCTCTAGTAACACGTGTCTGATCTTTAACACTTATAAATGACCTTGTCGTGTTGAAAGGGCCGCAAAACACTTAAACGTCTTTTTCTGTGTCGTGGTTCATCTCATTTGAAATGACCCTTGGCTTCTGGGATAATATGCTGTTTGTACAGTAGGCATATCGAGAACCGAGTTAATAAAGGCAGTGCGGTAAACGACATTGTCCATGAAATCCGTTAGATCAAAGTACAAAATAAGAATCTGACGTAGTGGATTTGTTGACTGCACGCCAGCTCCACGTTGTTTCGAAGAATTTCATTGGTTGGAATGGCTGCCGCTATGCTATTTTTAGTAACTCCACGTGTTTTTGGTAGGCATGGCATAAACACGTTGAAGGATCCATGAAAGCAAGCATTGCACAAACGAAAAGCACCGGATATATTGCTCTATATAAACGGAGCTAAAATCCTCCCTCAAATCATATTGTCCCAACAGTTCACAGAGTAACAAAACAGAAACTAATTCAACAGTTAAAAGCCTTTCTGATTTCGTTACGATAAATCATTAAGAATTCTTTCAGACGCTTAATCTGAATACAGTTCTAGATATCTAGATCTATACAGCCTATTAGAATTAATACTGATACTGAAAGATATTCATAAAAATTATCGACATGGGTCAGTGGTTGGCGAAGTTGCAACAAGCTTTGTTGAGTTTTTCTGGCGGTGGAGCACCCTCACGAGTGTTGATGCTTGGACTAGATGCAGCAGGAAAAACAACAATTTTATATAAGGTAAGCATAGAAAATATATTCTTTCGATCTCATTTCTGACTCAGCGGACTTTACAAATGTCATCTTGCAACTTCAAATATTAATTTCTCTCTCTCTCTCTCTCTCTCTCTCTCTCTCTCTCTCTCTCTCTCTCTCTCTCTCTCC